TACAGAAGATAGATGGTATATTGAACCTGCTGCTGTCCTGTTTCTATGGTGAAGCAAAGATTGCAGCAACATCAAAGGAGTGTGAGTGGAAGTCGTAATGCCAGTTAGAGGCACAGATTAGGTAATGCAATCATTGCGACAAATGGGGTGGTGTGGCGCTTGCTGGCTGGGTTGTATGCAGCATTGTTACCAGAGGTGATTAGACAGCCTACATTAATGTTACGTCTTTCCTCCTGGAACCTTTAAAATCTTTGCCCAGGTGTCCCTAATGGTCATTTCACGCTAGCAGAAGAGAGGAGCTGCCTATAGTGAGAAGGACCTTCTTCCTTCTCTAGATTATAAACACATGTGATTACTTGGACCCTGGTTGAGGATAATAAGATGACATATACCCCTGCTGCTGCTGGCCTAGATGTAAAAATTAAAAATGAGCCTAAATCATTCTTAAAAGAGTGAAAATGCCCCTTACGGCTCTCCATCATTTTTTTCCCTGCTAATGTTAATGGTAATGAAGGTGGTGCTGTTGGTGATGATCAAGTGAGCATTATTCCATTTCATGGTGGTAGAAGGAAAAATCAAATACAACATTCTTAAGAAATTTGCTTGTGTGTGAGGGGCTTAGATGCCAGGTTCAGGTGTCCATCCATGTGTGGTCAGTTTTAGGGAAGCTGATTCTCTATTACTTGGGAGCCAGGGTAGCCTAGGGCTTAAGCATATGAGTTTGGCGTAAAAATCCTGGCTCTACCACTTAATTGCTCCAGGTCTTAACTTTTCTGAATCTGGACCCTTGACTGTTGAGATGGAAACAACAATAATAGTCTCTGCTTCATAAGGTATGTTGGGAATTTTAATTGAGATTGCACATGTAAAGAACTTTGGGAAAACATTAGGTTCCTATCAGCTATTAGAGTGCCGCCCCCTCTGACTGGCAGGTGGTGGCCTAAGAAGTGGGCTGGCTGCACACCTAACTTACACGGTCGCATGTCAGTTATATCTCAGTAAAGCTGAGGGACAAAGAAGTTATGAAATGACCCTCCCCACCCACTCCACCCCCCAAATAAAAGAGGTAGTCTGGGTGTATGGATCAAATGGCTGAGTTTCACAGGCATGGGTAACAGAGAGGAATAAATAATAAATAATAATCAGAAATAATAAATCATCCCCAAAAGATACTGTTTTATTTAAATGTTTATACCATTGCTTTCACAGTCTCTTATGTCCGATTATGAAAATCATGGCCTATGATTTGAAACAAGGCTTAGAGAAATAGGAGCAATCAAAATACAATGTCTTCTTTCTAAACTCTAAACTGAAATAGCTTTCAAGTATTTCTTAATCTACTCCTGACTTTCCTTGCTCTGGTTCATGCTCAGCCTTCTTTTCTTTTTTTTACTTGGCTGTCAAAAAGCCTTAAGCTTTATTCTCAGCAGGTCTGATTATGGTGTGGATTTGTCACATCAGCAGTTGAAAGGTGGTGGCTTTAAAAGTATGCATGGTCTACATTTTCATTTCTCTGCAGTTGATACCTAGGAGTGAAGAATTACTGGGTTGTATGGTAAATTTATGTTTAACTTTTTAACAAACTGCTTCCTTTCCAAACTGGCTGTTCTATTTTACATTCTCACCAGCATTGGATAAGGGTTCCCATATCTCCGCATCCTCACCAATATTTGTTACTATCTTTTTATGTGTAGCTGTTCTAGTGGGTAATAAAATATCTTAATTGTGACTATAATTTGCATTTCCCTAATGACTAATGATGTTGAACATCTTTTCATGTGTTTATTAGCCATTTTTGTATTTTTAGTGAATGTCTATTCAGATCTTCTTTTTTAATTAAGTTTTTTTGTGTTCTTACTGCTAAGTTGTAAGAGTTGTTATATATTTTGAATACAAGTCCTTTGCAATATTAAAAAAAGTGTGTGTGGTCTAATGGCAGCAGATCTGGTTATTTTGGGTATTGTGTTTTGAGCATCTTGGATATTACCTCTCATAACAGTTCCAAACTTATGCATTTTATACATAGTTATTATTAATTTGGAAGTCAAAAAAAGATACCAAAATTGGGCTCTAAAAGTGAAATAGACTGCAGGCAAGTAATAATTATAATAAAAACTGAAATGTCAGTCTCCTTGTTGTATTTAAGACTTAATGCTTAAGATCATAGAATGCATTATTATAATACTAACAAGTATAGGATGAACATTTAAACTAACTTTTGGTAGAAAAAATTCTGGCGGATACTTTATAACACTGTTTTGCAACATAGTGCTGTATCAGAGTCCCCTGATAGGCTCAGTGAAAACAGATTCTTGGGATTCAACCCAAAGAATCTGAGTTGCTAAGTCTTGGGTGAGATCTGAGATTTCACTTATTCAATAAGGCCCCCCAAGTGGCCCGTGTTTGCATGAGACAGTTAGAGCCATTGTTTTATATTTGGGTGCACTTTTCACTTAAGCAATCAGTGAAATGGCTTAAATAATGGTGACTGGAGGAAGAGCTGGAACTTCTACCATGCAACTGGCCCCCAAAAAGCTTCTTCATTAGTTGATGCGTTTCCTGTCTTAACATTCAGGTAAGAGGTAGGATGCTTGGCAGAGATTTGTAGAAACGAGTTCTTTTAGTGGGAGTTTGATCAGCATGATCTCTAGAATACATCAGAGTGTTCTTCTTGATTAAGAATTGAAGTCTTAGCTTACACTTAAACTCCTGGTTCTGCTTTCAGTATCATTTGATCGGACAGGCCTCCTACCCTGTGAACCAGAACTCAGCTCTTCCTCGTTATTTTCTGTGTCCATCTATGTCTGTCTGTCTTCTCATTGTGACTCTTTCCGCCTCAACAGCTTCTCTCTCTGGGTCTCTGTGTTGTGAAAGGTTTTATTATCTTCAGGGAAAGCCTGAAGCAGCTTTATCCTCCAATCCTTCTTTCTCCTTCAATATCAGAAAGAAAAAAAAGGAAAAGCCAGAAGAACATTTACGTGAGTGCAGCTGCTTCAGGGAAGCAAGTGTCCTGGTGAATAGGTTGCCATGGCAGTGAGGAGACACTTAGGTGTGGGTGTAGAGTTTCTCTCCAGCCTCACTCCCACATGGGATGAAACAATTGAACAATTGTGATGGAACTCCAGCCACACAAGAACTAATGTGCAATTGCACAAGCTCATGGGCACTCAGTCTGTCTAGAGGGTTATCTGGATCTGCCAGGACTGGTGCAGGGAGAGGAATGAGAGGCTAGATTATTTAGTTGGTTTGGCTCCTGATCAGGAGGAAGGCTGGAGTTCAGCCTAGGTGTTTATCCCAGCCTGATCACACCCTGACATGTGCTGAGTCCTCCCTCCCCCTTCCTGTTAACTCTTACCTGGATTTTAGGACTTTTCTCCACTGCCCTCTTGCCCAGAGACATCATTTACCTATAACTTATGAAGGTTTGTTTCTTTCTTTACTTTACGGATAACATCATCTTCCATATCCCTTCTTTATAAAATTAAGGCGCTACCCTTCTTATAGGAGATGAATTCAGAACAGCCCCATGAGCTTATGTTTGATCTCTTTTTATGAACTGGGGAAATGAGAGAAGTGCAATCAAATCTTTGAAAACAGATCCGATAAAGATAATTATAAGCAGAAGGGAAGTGTCACAACCTCGCCTGAATTCTCATTACCACCAACAGGTGACATCTAAGTCCGTGACCCCAGATAGGAGGTAATATGTACCTAAGGTAGATCTATCACAGGTTGTCAATGTTCTGTGCATTTGCAGGTGTGTGCTTTTTAACACAGAAGAGAAATCATTTTCCCTCAGGCTGTGTGCTTCCTGTAGTCACTTGCAATGTGTATTTATTTCCAGAACATAGTGTACCATAGATGGGAATTCATCATCCATTGTAACTGAATCCATTATGTAGTTCTACCTGCATGTCTAGGTCATTTTGCACATTTTTAGTAACTGGACATTGGAACTGCTGGAACCACAGCAGTTGTCGGGAGCACTTAGAGAAAGATGACGTCTTTCTTAACAACCTGACTCTAAAAATACTACCTTGAATATAAGCATGATAAATGTGTTTAAAGGGCGTTTTTTTTCTCTCCGTCAAAGAAAAGAAATTGAAATAAATGTCTAAGTTTACATCTCGTTGAGCATTTTAAGTGACACAGAAAGCAGTCCAACCTTAGCTAAGTGGAAACCTTCTTATGAAGTTGGAAGAGTTTAAACATCAACATACAAGACATTAGAGTGGACCTAGACTGTCTAATTAACAGTTAAAGCAAAGTGAAAAAACATTTGTCTTCTATTCTCTGCATGTCTCAAGCTTGCATACATGTTGTGTTTCATAAATTTTTATTTATATAGGGCTGTGGAGTCATAGGGAGTTCAAATTCCAGATGTAGCACTTTGTTGTGTGACCTTGAGCAAATAACTTAACCTTTCTGAGATTGAGTTTGTTCATTTGTTCATAAGGGTTGTGGTGGTGTCATGGGCGGTCAATGACAGAAACCAGCTATCCTAAGGGAAAAAAAAAGAAGTGTATTGGAAATACATCAAGAATGTAAGAGAATCAAAGGCAGGCCTAGAAAACCAGGCCTGGTAAAGACAGGAACCAGGACAGATCCAGGAATCTGAGTACCAGAGCCAATGAACTTTCTCTCCTGTGTTACTTAGCTCCAGGTTCAGTGGCCCCAGAGCAAGAGTCAGATTCGCCAAGCTTGGGCCAGGTGACCCCATGCATGGGGAGGGCACCTTGGTTCGCATTCCTACCCATGCTGCCCACAGCAGCAGAAAGGTGATGTCTGACAAGGATATCAAGTTGCTTTTAGCAGAGTGACAGTTGAGTGGCCCAAATCCAGCAGATGTCACCGATGTCTACTAGTAGGATTTTTGATAAAGTATGTCAGGTGCTAGATTGGTGTTTGGAAAAAAAACAGGGTTTCAGTAAATGGCAGAATTTATTGAGAAATTGCCAGCTGCTTTGAAAAGGATCCTGCCTGCAATATTCTTCCTACTTAACTAAACTGTACTTTCCTTGAGGACAAGACTCAGCTATTTAAATTTTAATTTTATGTAAGTGCTTCACACATGAGTGGGTTCAAGATATCTTAGCTTTTTCCCCATCATCCCTGACAGAGGCTCTTCACACATCTCCATATTCCCAGAGTGCTCAAGAGGCAGCACAGATAAAGAAGGGTTAAAGGGTATGGGGATTCATGGTGCACTTGCTCTAACCCCACTCTTGTCCTCTGCTGCTCTGGAGAGAATGGGCAGATGCAGGGGCAAGATGGTCTTTACACCCAGGGAAGTCTTGATTGAACCTTGTTTTATAAAAGAACCAATTAATCTCACATTTTGGTACTTGACAAGTGTGTGTGCCCATACAACACAAACACCCCAAAAAGAAATGGCCTTTTTAATTTTTCTAAAATTCAATTAAAGTCATCACTCACCAAGGTTAATGAAAAGTCAGATATAAGATCATTTTGGTGCCCTTTGCCCATGCCCTTCCCATTTGGAATTATTACTGCCACCACCTGGGCCCCATCCTGAGGTTTAGACTGTCTGATAAAATAGACCTTGACCAGTATTACGTATTGCTGCCACTATTCCTTGCCCGGCTGGCCCTGCTTGTGGCCCCTTCCCACCCCTGAATGGGCATTGGTCCAAAGCAAGGTCATTGAATCCTCATCCTTCCAATCCTATAGCCCTTACCATTCAAGTTTTAAAGCCTCCAAGTACCACCGCGATCAACAGGAAAACAGGACTCCACCTTTGAACCAGTTCTGCAACCCTCCTCTCCAGTCCACAGACTTCTATGCAGGCTGGCCTCAGGCTTCTCTGCCCTTTAGCTCTTCCTAATAGTTTTGTTGAGATATAATTCACATACCATACGATTTTCCTGTGTAAAGTGTACCTTTCACTAGTTTGTATATTCATGGAGTTACACAACTATCACCACAGTAGATTTTAGAACATTTCCTCACCCCTAAGAGAAATGCCTTTCTCATTAGTGGTCTGCTTTGACCATACCTCACCCATGCCCCAGGCCTAGGCAACCACCAATCTACTTTCTGTTTCGGTGGGTTTGTTTACTCTGGACATTTCATGTAAATGGACTCATACAATTTGTGGTCTATTGTTACTGACATTTTCATTTAGCATGTTTTCAAGGTTCATCCATGTTGTAGCACGTAGTTGGTTCCATTTTATTGCTGAATAATACTCCATTTTATGGATATACCAATTTTTTTAACCCTTTCTTCAGCTGATAGGAAATTGGGATCCTTTAGTCCTCTTCAGTTCTTTCTATCTGGTGGCCCCAGATCAGGAATCAGACTCAAATGTGTATCAGCTAGCTGCAAAGAAAAAATAGGAAGTGGTGAGGACTATGGCAAATGAGAGATAATGTGCCTATCTGGAAGGGGTAGCCCCTACTCAGCCATTGCCTGGGGGCCACTCAGGCCTGGTGTTATTAGATCTTCAGATTGTTCTAGAGAGGCCAGAATCTGAATTTTCATATGAAACTTTCCTGATTTTTTAAATGTTGGTCAATTAAAACAAATACTGTGTGGGAGAGAGAGAATACAATTCTGGTTGAGACTAAATGCCAAAGGCGGTCCCCGAGTGATGCAGAGACACATCTCATCTTTTGGAGCCTGTGAGGAATTAGCTGGAGTGTGGGCTCCCCTAGCAACTTCTGCCCTCTCATTTGGCAATGCTAAAAGGCTTCCTTTGGAGGAAAGGAGGCCCCAGGTCTAAAGTCAACACTCTGGATCAGGAGTGGGGTGGAATTCCTCTCATTGTTTGGCTCATGAGTGTAATGCCAGTGCAGAAAAAAAAAAAAAAGTACTGCTAATGTCCACAATAAGTTAGTGTTAAATTGCCCAACAAATTACTGGCGGCCTACTTCAGGATGGATTATGACCCGCTGGCATCACTTTGATTATGACTTCAGCCATGGTGGAGAAGTGCTGATTTGTAAAAGATGTGCTCTGAATCCGAGAGGATAGATTTGTGAAAAATGGGAGAAGAGAAGCAATGATGGCGTGGCCTCCTCATAGACAAAGATGCCAAAGTAATGTCGGTTGGGGAGTAGCAAATATCAAGGCTTATGGCAACAGTGATTGTTTACTGAGCAAATAAGCACTCTACTTGCCACTGTCCACTTTCCATTCTGCATGTGACTGTGAAGGAGAGGTTATTTTTAAAGGGAAAGGAGTTCATAAAACCCACCATTGGTGTAGTGCTTGACATTTGCAGAGGTTTTAAATTCATTATCTGATTGTACCTGTGACGATAAGCATTTTAACCTAACTCTGTTTTGTGAATTATGTTGTTGAGACATAGGGGAGGAGAAATGGCTTGGTTAAGAGCATCCAGCAAGTGAGCCTAGGATTTAAATCCCTCTCATTGGGTTCCAAATGTAATATCATTTCCATAGATATATAGCTGCCCTTTCAATGCTTTCTAATTTTGACTTATCTGTGTAGTAGGTTTATTGTGTAGTATAGATATTTTTAGAGTTAATAACACGGGGTTTGATTTTATATTTATTTTTGTGTTTTTATATTTATTTTACATTTAAAAATAAAGAAGTATTTTATTTTTATATTTAAAATATCAGCATAAACTCAAACATGGTATTAGTGTAATACACAAATAATATGAACTACAAATGTTTAAAATATAAGTTACATTATGTACCCAGAAAACAATGAAAGGAAATGGTGATTTTCAAAATGTTTTAGTATTTTTACATGCTTTGAGTCAATAACATTAAATTAATTAATAAATTATGGGGAATAGGTGTGCATATTAATTACTCAGGCATTATACTTAAAGAAGTATGATAATAAACAGGGGAGACATCACTAAAGTATTCAGTGTCAATCAGTCTATCTCCTTTTCTTCCAGCTTCTCTCTCCAGCTTCCCCTCTCCCCAGCTTCTCTCCCATTTTTGCCTTTTGTCTTCTTTTCTTTCCTCCTGTCTATATTTTTATTTTCCCAGTAAGAGAAAAGATAATTTATAAGAAGCAAGAGACTCTTCAGGCTCAATCTTAATTATGCTTTTTTGCTTAATACATTCATCCACTCAATTCATTTAACAATGAATATTTATTGAGTACTTCATTAGTTTCCTGTCACTGCTGTAACAAATTAACCCAAACATGGTGGCTTAAAACAATGCAAATTAATTTTCTTATAGTTCTGGAGTCAGACATCTAAAATAAAGGTGTCAGCAGGTCTGCATTCTTTCTGGAAGCTCCTGAGGGTAGAATCTGTTTCTTGCCTTTTTCAGCTTCTAGAAGCCACTTGCATTCCTTGGCTCCTGGCCCCATCATCATATAGGTCTAACCCCTTGCTTCTATTGTCACATCCCCCCTTTTGCCTTTTACTTTCTTGTCAACCTCTTATAAGGACCCTCGTGATTACATTGGGCCCTCCAGGTTAACCCAGGATTCTCTCCCGATTTTAAAATCTGCTGGTTAGCAATCCAATTCCATCTGTAGCCTGAATTCCCCATTGCCATGTAAACAACATATTCACAGGTTCTGGGGATTAGGACATGTACATTTTTGGGGTCTGGGATAGTCAGCTTGCCACAAATACCTACTGTGTGCCAGGCACAATACAGACTTATATTCTATTTGATTCTCTTTTCTTAATTAGATAGATGTATTATCACTGACAGCTAGAGATCCTTATGTCACTCAAAGAGACTTTTTGAGTGACATAACAAACCACTATATCCCATGTCCACCTCTTCAGACACACAAGAGATATGCCATCTGTTAATTTGTGCCAGCTAAATGAAAAGTGTAGCATCTGATGTCACCACCAACCTCCAAAGAGGTGCTTTCATTTGAGGCAGTGGCTGTGATCAGTGTCAAGCACACTGGCATATCCAGAGTGGCCTCTCAGTACTTGATTGATGCTTTTACTTACTTTAATTCTTTCTCCTATCACAGGTTAATTAACACTCACTTAGTATAAATGCTAACCTTTTGGTCATCAATTCTCATAAGGATAGGAAATAGGGCAGTGTGTGGAATTGATCATCTCGACTGGGATACCTTAGCAAGTAAATAGAGGCACTATTAATAATCATGCAGGAACAATATGTGCAAAAGAGGACTGTTTTGGGAACACTGGGCCTTAGGGTCTCTCTATACACTAAGTCCAAATGACTAATAACAGCCATAAACACTGTGACTATGAAAATATTTTGAATACCCCATAGGTTCAGAGCACTGCAGTCAAAACTTTATGTACAAAACCTCATTTAATGTAAATCCTACAACAATCTTATAAATAGCTAGATATTATTATTATTATACATCCCTATTTTAGTGTTGAGAATGAAGCTCAGAAGTTTATTTGTTTTTTTATTAAGGTATCATTGATGTACAATCTTATGAAGGTTTCACATGAGCAACATGGTGCTGCTTACTGTATTCACCCATATTATCAAGTCCACACCACACCTCATTGCAGTCACTGTCCATCAGTGTAGCAAAATGCCACAGTCACTACTTGTTTTCTCTGTGCTACACTGTCTTCACCGTGACCACCTCACACCATGTGTGCCAATCAAATGCACCTCAATCCCCTTCTCCCTCCCTACCCACCCATCCTCCCCAACCACTCCCCTTTGGCAACCACTAGTCCCTTCATGGAGTCTGTGAGTCTGCTGCTGTTTTGATCCTTCAGTTTTGCTTTGTTGTTATACTCCACAAATGAGTGAAATCGTTTGGTACTTGTCTTTCTCTGCCTGTCTTATTTCACTGAGCATAATACCCTCTAGCTCCATCCATGTTGTTGGAAATAGTAGGATTTGTTTTCTTCTTATGGCTGAATAATATTACATTTTGTATATATACTACATATTCTTTATCCACTCATCTAGTGATGGACCCTTAGGTTGCTACTGTATCTTGGCTACTGTTAATAGTGCTGCAATAAACATAGGTTTGCAGATATCTTTTTGAATCTGGGATCATGTTTCTTTTGGGCAAATTCCTGAGAGTGGAATTCCTGGGTCAAATGGTATTTCTATTTTTAGTTTTTTGAGGAACCCCCATATTGCTTTCCACAGTAGTTGAACTAATTACATTTCCACCAACAGTGTAGGAGGGTTCCCCTTTCTCCACATCCTCACCAGCATTTGTTGTTGTTTGTCTTTTGGATGTTGGCCATTCTAACTGGTGTGAGGTGATGTCTCATTGTGGTTTTAATTTGCATTTCCCTGACAATTAGTGATGTGGAGCATCTTTTCATGTACCTGTTGGCCATCTGAATTTCTTCTTTGGAGAAGTGTCTGTTCATATCCTCCACCCACTTTTTAGTTGGGTTATTTGCTTTTGGGTGTTGAGGCATGTGAGTCCTTTGTATATTTTGGATGTTAACCCTTTGTTGGATATGTCATTTATGAATATATTCTACCATACTGTAGGGTACCTTTTTGTTCTACTGATGGTGTCCTTTGCTGTACAGAAGTTTTGTAGCTGGATGTAGTCCCATTTGTTCATTTTTGCTTTTTCCCTTGCCCAAGAAGATGTGTTCAGAAAAAAGTTGCTCATGTTTATATTCAAGAGATTTTTGCCTTTGTTTTCTTCTAAGAGTTTTATGGTTGTATGAGTTACATTCAGGTATTTGATCCATTTCATGTTTAATTTTGTGTATGAAGTTAGACAATATTCCAGTTCATACTCTTACATGTAGCTGTCCAGTTTTGCCTACGCCAGTTGATGAAGAGACTGTCAATTCTCCATTGTATACCCATGGCTCCTTTATCATATATTTAATTGACCATATATGCTTGGGTTTATATCTGGACTCTAGTCTGTTCCATTGGTCTGTGGGTCTATTCATGTGCTAGTACCAAATTGTCTTGATTTCTGTGGCTTTGTAATAGAGCTTGAAGTCAGGGAGCATAATCTTCCCAGCTTTATTCTTCCTCCTCAGGATTGCTTTGGCTATTTGTGGTCTTTTGTGGTTCCATATGAATTTTTCAACTATTTGTTCTAGTTCACTGAAGAATGCTGTTGGTATTTTGATAGGGATTACATTGAATCTGTAGATTGCCTTAGGCAAGATGGCCACTTTGACAGTATTAATTGTTCCTATCCTTGAGCATGGAACGTATTTCCACTTATTGGTGTCTTCTTTAATTTCTCTCCTGAGTGTCTTGTAGATTTCAGGGTATAGATCTTTCATCACCTTGGTTAGGTTTTTTCCTAGGTATTTTATTGTTTTTGAAGCAATTGTAAATGGAATTGTTTTCCTGATTTCTTTTTCTGCTAGCTCATCATTAGTATATAGGAATGCAACAGATTTCTGTGTATTAATTTTGTAT